TGACCAAACATTAAAACAAATATGAGTGATATGTTTCAAGTAAGAATACAGGTTACCGATGACCAAATCTTATAAATCCCCCGTGATTAAAAGTTCTTTCTTTGTCATACATATGAATAGATATTTAATTAGAAACCAAATTTTAAAGCACAACAGTCATCAGAATTATTGTCTTCCTATAAACATTCCGAATTTGAATTAAAATAGCAGTCTTCAGTTTTGATCCAAAGAAATAAGCTAAGCATGATTCTGCCAATGATTGTATTAAAGGTGTACATGTATTTCCGGCTTGGTTTATCTGATTTTGACCTCATTTCTTGGATCATAAATGTTAGTGTGATACTTGTAGTAAAACTTTATATTGAGGACTATCAACATAAAATCAATGGTCAGTATATAGGCATAGGGATAGTGATATGGCGGCGTCGTCGGCGTTAACCAACTTCTTAAAAGCTTAATATTTCAGAAGGTAGAATACCTGGATGCTTCATACTTTGTATATAGATACCCTATGATATAAAATTTCCGCCTGTCATATGTCCATTGTCCTTGACCTCATTTCTATGGTTCAGTGACTACTTGAAAAAAAAGTTACGATTTTTTGTAATGTTAATTTCTCTCTTATTATGAGCAATAGGATAACTATATTTGGTATGTGCGTAACTTGCAAGGTCCTCATGCCTGTCAGACAGTTTTCACTTGACCTCGACTACATTTCATGGATCAGTGAACAAGGTTAAGTTTTCGTGGTCAAGTCCATATCACAGATGTTATAAACAATAGGTCTACTATATTTAGTGTATGTTATGATTGTAAGTTGTACATGTCCAACTTGCTGGTGTCGTCGGCCTTGACCTCATTTTCATGGTCCAGTGTTTAAAGTTATTTTTTTGTGTTTTGGTCTGTTTTTCTAATACTGTATGCAATAGGTCAACTATATTTGGTGTACGGAAATATTTTACGGTGTACATGTCAGTCTGCCAGGTTTTTCTTGACCTTGACCTCATTTTCATGGTTTATTGCTCAATGTTAAGTTTTTTTGTATTGATCTGTTTTTCTAATACTTTATGCCTAAAATCAACTGTATTTGGTGTATGGAAATATTTTACGATGTACATGTCAGTCTGGCAGGTTTTATTTGACCGTGACCTTATTTTCATGGTTCATTGCTCATTTTAAGTTTTTATGTTTTGGTCTTTTTTTTCTTTAACTTTAAGCAATAGGTCAACTAAATTCATGATATTTGGTGTATGGGATGATTGTAAGGTGTATATGTCTGTCTGGCAGGTATCATCTGACCTTCACCTCATTTCCATGATTCAGTGGTCAATGTTCAGTTTTCCTGGCTAACTTTGTTTCCTAGATACTATAAGCAATAAGTCAACTATATTTGATGCATGGAATGATTTTAAGGTGTACATGTCTGTCTGACAGGGTTCATCTGACCTTGACCTCATTTTCATGGTTCATTTGTCAATAGAAAATATCCATGGTTTGGTCTGTTTCTTCATACTATAAGCAATAGGTCATCTGTATTCGGTGTATGGAATGATTGTATTATAGATGTACATGTATTTCCGGCTTGGTTTATCTGACCTTGACCTCATTTTCTTGAATCATAAATGTTAGTGTGATACTTGTAGTAAAACTTTATATTTAGGACTTTCAATACAAAATCAATGGTCAGTATAGTAGGCGAGACATTTCAGCGTGTGTACTCTTGTTTCATTTCAGCTCAGTGTGTCATTTTAGTAAAAAGCAGGGTTCATATCCATATTAACATATTTTGTCCTGATATGCATGTAATATTTGCAACAGGACATTAAACACGAACTCATTATCATCATTCAGCTGAAAAACAATACTTAAATTTAAATAATATTTTTTTTTCATTAATGGTTATGCTTTCTTACAAACAAATGTTACAACATTGTATTTAATATATTGTCTGATACTTGTTGTATGACATTGTATTTAATATATTGTCTGATACTTGTAGTATGAAATGGTAGCAGAAGTAAATTACTAGTATTTGCGAATTGATAAATGATAATTACTTTATTGATAAACTTCTTTGGTGTCTATCAGTTAGATATAACAGACCAATATTTATTGAATACAGATTTTCCTTTAGAATCTACAAAAGTATATGAAAGGTACTTTAGTTCAGTTTTGGCCTGGCAGTTTAGACAGTGTGGTCAGGGTTATTCCTGGAAGATTAAGCAGTGTGGTCAGGGTTATCTATTTTCTGGCAAATATTAGTCAATCAATCAAAGTATTATTTTTTTCTGTCAGAGAAACGGGATAAAAATTAAAAATATTGACTAAGTAATTCATGCTGGAAAATTTATGAAATTTTTATAACAATGCACATTGAATCAAGGCCAAATGTTGCTAATAACATAAATGGAGAAGTTGTATCACTTTATAAAGATACATTAAAGGCTGAACGCTACCAGAAAAAAACCCAGGATTTATATTACTTTTACACCTAAGAAAGAAGAGACTCATAAGAGACCAGCTGGTGATCAAATTAGGACTGATGAATCTTAAGCAAAACTCAAAAGGTGACATAACAATTTTATCATATTGTTCATTTTTGTAATAAAATATTTGAATGTCTGATACGTTCGTCTAGCATTAATATTAAATGTTATTTCTTCAATTTCTCATCCCTCCTAAAACCCTTTCCATGGGAAGACATTGTTTTTGTAGTGTCATTTCTAAAATTACAAACATTTATTATACCGTATACAATTATACACATCAAAGGTTTATGCCAGTCGTTTTATTTGTTTAGGCATCAATTAATGTCTATTTCATTCAATAGCAAGAAAAATATAGTTTTGAAGTAGTGAATCTTTAACTAATTTTATTTAAAACCTACATTTTAAGATTAAGGTTGTTGTCTTTTCTCATACTTCATTTCTCTGATACCTTCTTCCATGGCCCTTTTCACTAAATAACAAGGTTCACAGCTTACTATAAACTGGACAAAAAATATTAGTCAACTGTGTAACAGGTATGAAGATAGGACTTGTAGGTATATTAAACAAGTCTAGAATGTCTTGGCTAAGTCTGAAATACGAAGGTTATCTTTTAGAAAGTGTTTTTTTTTATCCCCCCCCCCCTGCTTGACTAGAGTCAGGATTAAATAACAACCTTATGTCTGTCTGTCCTTCACACTTAAGGTGCCAATCCTCTCCTCTAGTTTGTCTCTGTCAACCAACAAAAATGGCTGAAAATAAAACATGAAGGTAAATGGAAGTAATTGCCATATATCTTGAAGACCATAATATATGGAAAAAATCTTTAAGCAAACATGCTGAAAATGTCAAATATACCAGTCCACTGCTTCCCAAATTATTCGAACACCCCTTTTAAGAATAATCACTATTACTTTGACTTTTTGACCATTTTTCTATCGTGTGTAAAAAATATGAATGGATGAACAGAAGCTTGTTATGTACAATAACAATTGAAATACATGATCTTCGTAATGATGAAACCATTAATTGACCCCTCATAGTTCAAGATAACGGGTTAACACATAGTTGTTATATCTTATTCTGATAAGCTTTAATCTTCTCCAAAACATGATCTTCATAAATACCATTATAAAGGAACCATCATTTGACTGCTTGGCATCTTGCAAAGTTTTTTAATTTCAACTTTAGGTATGTTTATAATTTTTATCGCTCAATAAAAGAGATGCAACAGCTACCCAAGTGATATTCAAACTGATCAGTCAAACACAAACTGACAACTCCGTTGCAAAAAAGGCGAAAAGACAAACAACATTACACAAAACACAACATAAAGCAACATGAACTCCACCTAAACCGGGGGGATTTCAGGTGCTCTGGGAGGGTAAGCAGATCCTGCTCCACATGTGTCACCCGTCATTTCTCAATGATACGACAGAAAATAGAAGGTTTGCTTTATGTTTAGATATCTTGAAATAGACACATACGGCCGGCTTCAACCTAGTATATGAGACAAAATGTGACAGTTTCAGTTTTCCTGTTAACAACTTCATATTTCTCAGTAGCAACATCTCCTTTGACCAGCATATGATATTATCATATCTTAATTCACACCACACAATACGAACTGCTAATTAACATTATACGGACCTTCTCAACATGGGTGTGCTCCCTACGAAGAATAATCCTCCAGCTGGATTTGAGGAAGAACGGTTGAAATTAACATTACACAAGTTTCAACTGCATCCAACTCCATTTGAATGACTGAAAAGACAGGTCTTTGTCTCAACTCTCGAGAGAAATTATTTCCTTGTCATATCCTAAAATACCATGACTGGTGACGTTGCATAGCAGGAGGCGCTTGCCTTGTCGAGTGTTAGTGGTGTTGGTAAGAGTTCATGCTACAATCAATCAATCAATCACTCATGTCAAAGTGAAAGAGGATACACTTGCCCTTCCGGAGCACATGGGTGCACCTGTAGTGTTATATTTTGTGGGACTCGTGTTGGTTTTGCTTTAGTATCCTTTGTAGTTTTTTTATGTTATAAGTATCAATATTTCAGGATTGTTTCTTTCTGACATTATCTTATAAATCCTTCATGATAGGTATGTTCCAATTATGGTAACGACAATCACGTCGTCTTTCCCAGACCTAACGAATTCAACTTATCACTGGGTTTGTACTAACATTAGCAGCACGACGGGTGCCACATGTGAAGCAAGAACTGTTACCCTTCTGGAGCAGATGAGGTCACCCAAAATTTTTGTTGAGTTCGTTATGCTCAGCTTTTAGTTTTCTATGTTGTGTGTTGTGTACTGTTGATTTTTGTCGTTTGTCGATTTTTTTGCCTTTACATTGGCAGTATGTTTTCGACTTACGAGTTTGAATATCTCTCTGGTATGGTATCTTTTCCTTTTCTTTTTCGTGTTGCTCAATATTCAGTATTTTGTATTTTTTTTTTTTTTTATGGAACGGTGGTATTTACAATGTTGTTCGTTAATAATAAGTCATAATATGAAAATATTTTATTCTTTGAATTTTTTGAAATATATATAAAATGTATTATTCCATCCCACTTAGCCGTGCTGAAATAAAAAAAATTAATAAGATAAGAACCATGTGTTTTTGCCCTTGAATTGGTAAAAACTTTCAAATTATGTAAACTTTATTTACAAATGAATATATTTACTTGTCACACTAATTGTGCATTTAACAAAAGTGAGATATTACAGCTTTCGAGTGTTTGATACTCGAGTAACTGTGAGCAACGCTTACAAAATGATTTATTTTGTTTTCCAAAGAACTTTACTTGTTAAGAGAAACTTCCCGAACAAAGTTCAATCAGAAATAAAATCGGAGTTGCAAAATGCCAATATATGATAAAGATATTGCGAACAGTTTATTTACGCTAGTACTTAAAACTTTCCATCCTTTATGGTTGGATTTTTACATAGATAAATAAAATCGTATTATAAAAAAGCAAAATGAGGATGTTAAATTTGATGTATGCCTTTTTGTGCGTCTTCGTTACATTATAACTGGCTTATCAGGCCAACTGAATACATACTTGCTTCTTGTCTCCATACAAAAAAAATAGACTACGTATGTATAATTGCCGTTTGTAAATATGCCATGTACACATGTACAGTCTTTTTCATGGCAAAATAAACCCAAATGATAATTAGAATTATAAAGTTGCATACAAAGTGTTAAAATACATCATGTGAGTACGAATCTGAGATAGTTTCAAAATTTAGTTCAAACGGTTCAAAACAGTAGCGGACAAAAAAGGGTAACGGAAGGACGAACGAAAACCGCAATCACTTAATAGCACCTGCTTAAAAAAAGTGGCGTTTATTAAGCAGCAACCTTCTTTAAAAATAAGAACATCGACATTTTTGTTTGAGATATATTGTGTTTATTGTTCGTTTTCGGTAGGAAAATATTAATGACAAGATCTTGAAATTAGACGATATCTACTAAGTTTTTCAGTTTTAATTTCGATTTGTGCAAATATGATCAAGTACTTCAAATTACGTATATTTTCCCTTTGTAAAAGTACATCAAGTGAGTTTTTTTACAAGATTCTGAGATAGTTTTAAAATTTCTGTCAAACGGTTTAATCTGTTTGATTTCCTTAATTACGTAGATTTGTCGCTTCCGGTTTTGATAAAAGTTCATATTGGACACAGCAATAGGTGTAAGTGTGCGCTGTTCGGAGAATGTTTCTCTCCGTGCGTTCGTCGTTTTTCAGGTGTGTTCTATTTTGATGTACTTTAACAAAAGAAAAATATACGTCATTAGGTAAATCTGACAGATTAAATGATATCTTGAATCTGGAAAATACTACGATTAAGAAATTTTACAACTGCGTGATAATTATATTCTAAATTGTGCAAAAGATGGCTTATCATACATTTGCCCTTTAAAAATGAACTAGAGTAGATTTATATCACTTCCAGTTTTGAGTAAAGTTCATATTGGACAAAGCAATAGGTTTAAGTGCGCGCTGTTCGGAATTCCTTCCGTGGGTTCTTTGTTTTTCATTTGTCTTCTATTATAATCCTCTGTAATTAAGAACTTAGGTTACTTATTCAACAATTAGTTCACATTAGACAAAACAATTTGTTAAAGTGTTGCACTGTTCCGAGAACTTTTCTTTCCATGCGTTCGTTGTTTTTCGTTTGTGTTCTATTATAATCATCTGTAATTAAGAAATTATGTTACGTATTCAACACAATTGGTTTGGTTTCTTATATCTATTATTTAAACATATCTTTCACTAATTAAAACTTACTGGTGATGCTGTTGCAATCACAGAAACTGTCTCGCATGGACATTCACGACGGCAAGCTAAAACTTGATTACTGAAATAAAAATTATAATATTTCAATTGTTCGAGGTCTGCCATGGACCGGTTTTAAGACAGGTAATCGTTACCTGCCAAACGGTCATTTAAAATGTTTTAAAAACAAATGCTGTTGATTTTTAATACATACATATCTGCCTTTAAAAACGATCTGTGACAAACCCTTTCTCGAACAACTTCGATCATGTATTTTACGTTAAATTGTAATAATAGTGAGAAAATGAGAACAGCAATTATTTTGATTATGTTTTTTCTTAACAACATGAAGAAGGTTGAGTGAAACAAATTTTGCTTAAATTATGAAGGTAACATGGTTTTGTTAAATTTTGTAGCATATCATTAACAAAACTATTTTTGTATCTGATAGACAATATCTAAAACATTATTAAATTCTCGTACACTAAAAAGCAAAATAACAAAAATAGCGAACTCCGAGGAAAAGTTTAAATTGAGAGTCCCTTATCAAATGGCAAAATCAAAAGCTCAAACACGACACACGAATGGAAAACAACTGTCATATTCCTGACTTCGTACAGGCATTTCCTTATGTAAAAATGGTGGTTTAAACCTGGTTTTATTGCTAGCTAAACCAGCGTTGTTTAAAATCTTAAAGTACTCATATGATTGTATGTTTTGGTAAAGATTGAAGGACTTTTAGAAAAAACTCGGCTGGCAGACAAATTCATATCTCTGTTCAGACAATTTTGATTACATTAGGTTATTTTATTACAAAGAAAAACAAAATATATTTTTATTGTTTCGTGGTTTTGTTTTTATCTATTATCCTCCTTGTACAAAACTGGATATCCCAATTTCAAGCAGTAGATATTGGTATTCCAATTTGTACTGGATTCTAACAAGTTTAAATCATAAGGTCAATTTCTACTAGTAGATATTGGAACTCCAACTTTTACTAGGAGGATTTTGGATCCTACTGGATTCCAATTTGTACTGCAAAATATATATGAATTATAAAATCCAAATCTATTTACTATTGAAACTGTGATATTTTAAAAATTAGGGCAAATGAACTCAGGGTTAACTGAACGATTTAAGATCAAAACATTTATTTTTGGCAAACAAACTGCACTCCATGGTTTTCTGTAATTATTTTACCATGCAATGCTTAAATCAATGTTGAATTTAATCTGTCGGTATTATTTTTAAGGTAAAATCATTTTTTTTATAAGTTGTTTGGAAGTATGATGGAAGGATGGCTTTGGGATGAACTTATCTGAGTGGTAATATTTTTTATTGTTGTGGTGGGGTGGGGGTATTTATTTTTAATTTAGGTTACAATAGATTTTATCATGAAGTAACATTTGCAATGAAATTACTTGCATTGTATTTAGCGTTCATAATCCTTTTTTTAATATTTTGCAACATTAATTTACCATACAATGTTCAAATCTCATAAATGTAATGAAGGAAGATACAAATCAAGGTAACACAAAAGCTAAGGGAATCACATGAACGAGACCGCGTTCTTTGACAGTCAATATTTATTAATAGGCATGTCCCTAATCAGCAGCATGTAATATTCGGTTGTTACAATGACTCAGCTTATAAGATTATATAACAATAACATAAACGGTACCAATTGTGCTGCACCAGATGCGCATTACGACAATCAATGTCTCTTCAGTGATGCTTGAAGCCAAAATATTTAAAATCCTTAAAAGCTTATTGAAAGGTCGAAGAGCTATAAACCAAAAAGGACAAAAAAGTATAGCCAAAAGCCGGGCAAGAAATCAGAGCTTTGCATGAGGGAGATATATTCCTTAATTTAAAATAACTTCCAGAATTTTGTAACAGCAAATTTTATTATCACAAAATCCGTATTTTCATGCCATGTCGGGAAGTTAGCGCGATTTCATATATTTTAAAGTTGCTACCTGACACTTATGTATTTATGACGTTACTTATATAGCAATGGCCAGACGTTGAATATACACGATCTATACACAACGTATTTATCTACTTTACACAACATTTTATGGGTGCCGTGACTGACGGGAAATTGGTTCAACAATGGAAACGAAGTTAAAGGCAATACGTGCCTGCAACAAAGCAGCAGTGACAAAGCTATAGACCAAAATTGAAGAGCTAAAGGAGAATCCGGACAACGTTGAAATGGAGGAATTCAAAGCCACAGAGCATGCCGTAATTTAGAAAAAGAAGATTCTACAGGGTTTGAACGAGAAGATGAGAAGACGAGGATCACATTGAACAAAAAATTACAGACTCGGATGAGTATATGTTTAATTTAGACAGTAAACTTAGGCAAATACGAAAACTTATATAAGAAATCAAATCAAACAAAACTTCAGATTTACAAGAACAATCATCAATAAACGCTATATACCTAGATCAAAAAATTGTAATACAAACACATCAGCCGTTTACTCGCTAAACACTAGTAAAAGTATTCCATTTAAGGAAAATCGTACCGGAAATCAATCACGCAACTTTCCTGCCGAATTTACAATCATATAATAGTCAATAAGATTGTTCGCTTATACCACCACCTGCCCAACCGCCAAGTATAATTAGTAATAACCACAGATTACCTAAATTAGATTTGCCACATTTTGACGGGAATGTTTTACAGTGAAGCACATTTTTGGACTCTACAATACATTTTAATAGCAGCCTAACACCAATACAGAAATTCAGTTATCTCAAATCCAGTTTTAAGGATTCGCCGCCCAAACTACAGCAGGATTTGCGCTTACACACGTCAATTATGAGAAAGCCGTATGTTTGCTTAGAGAGATTTGGACACCAACACAAAGTTATAAACGGTTACATGAAAGCTTTAATGGATCTGCTCTCACCGTTAAAGGATTAAAACAGTTTAAGAAGTTATGGAGACTATCTAGAATTATACGTAAGAGGCCTTGAATGTTTGGGTCAAACACAAGAAATGTATGGCGCGGTACTATTACCTATTATTATAAGTAAATTGCCAGTAGAAGTAAGGAAAAGTATTGCCCGTGAATATGATAGCGATCATGTAACCTTAGCAACTTAAGAAAAGTCATTACAAAAGAAGTGAAAATTCTTGAAGCGGGACAATTTACCGACCTGTTTCATACGAGAAACATACTACAGAAGCTTATATTTTTTCGACGAAGGTGCTCAACGTTCATTTATCACCCAGAACATAGCTAAACAATTACATATAAGACCAAGCTGAAGGGACACAATTGAACTGTCAGCTTTTATAGACAAGGAGACGAATATACGCCATTTGAATACAGCAACCGTTCAACTACAAACTGACAAAGGTGAAATTGTAAACATTAATGCATTGATTGTTCCATATATTGCAGTCCCTCTTCAAAACCAGATGAAATAAGTAACACGCAATTTGCCATACTTGAAAGATTTAAAAATCGCACATCCTGTAAATAACGATGATAGTTTTGAAATATCACTCTTAATTGGAGCAAACTATTATTGGGATAGAGTTCAAGATCACCTGATCAGAGGCAATGGACCCACAGCCGTCGCATCAAAGATTAGTTACTTGTTATCTGGACTTGCAACAAGAAGCGGAAAGAACTTGTATACTTCATCCGTACTTTTAAGTGTTATTTCACATCATGCAGAGGAAAGCGACATCGATAAGCTCTAGAATATAGAATCACTAGGAATACGTAAACCACAACAGGACGATGAGGATAGTTTTGTAAAGACTTATCAACAAGACTGTATCAAATTTGAAAACGAACGTTATTCCAAGTTGCCATGGGAACTAGATAATCCGGACTTACCTTCAAACATCATGGTCGCTAAAGCAAGGACTGAAAGCACAATTAGAAGACTAAGTCGTGAACCAAATTTATTGAGAAAATATTCAGAAATTATTGAAAACCAAATGAAGAGAGGGTTCATAGAGAAGATAGACGAGAAATACGACAATGGCAAAAGTAACCACTATATAACACTTCATGCCTTTAAAAGGATTCAACACCAATTCGTATAGTGTACGACTGTAACTGTAAAAAGTCACCAGATCACGCAAGTTTGAATGGCTGCTTAATGCTTAATGTCAACTCCACTCGACTTGAACGACTTGACAAAAATATCAATGAGATTTAGAACGAAAAGGAACGCAATAAGCACGCAAATCGAACTTTTACTCGCTTTTATGGTTGACCGACAAAGATAATCCCAGCAGTACTCTTACAACATATCGATTCAAATCCATTTTGTTTGGTCCAACACATTCACCTTTCATCCTAAACGCAACACTGCTTAAACTCTTGCATGCATGCAACACAGATATATCAGCATTAATGAAGAATGAACTTTAGGTAGACAATATTTTGTCGAGTTTGGAAAATATAACAATAGAGTGTTGGATAGTAAATTGCCAACGAACTTTATTTAAGGTCGAAGTGTTAAATTGAAATTAAAGGATACTAAATTTAATCCATTGTTTTAGTAGGACAACTTAGATTATACCTAAATACCAAAGACGCAATTTGCTGTGGTGGGAGAATTCATAACGCATCTGTATGTTAAAATACAGTGACTGAGATACGACAATCTTACTGGATACCCCTAATTCTTCAATACGTAAGAGGAATTTTGCGAGATTGCGTAATTTGTCAAAAAATCAACAGTAAACCATATACAGCTCTTTATCCGCCGCCATTCTCGAATGTTTGATTACTGGAAGCGGCACCTTTTACAATTACTGGCGTTGACATTACTGGAGCGCTGTACGTTAGAGATAAACATGATACTAAAAACAAAGTTTTTATATGTCTATTTACTTGTGCTTTAACGAGAGCCGTACACCTGGAAGTTGTACCGGACCTATTAAAAAAATAATTTTTACAAGCCTTTATAAGATTCGCTAGTCGTAAATCTAGACAACACACCATGATTTAGGATAACAGTTTGACATATTTAGCCGCCTTGAAAACATTGAAGAAATTAACCCAATCGCAATCGCAAAACGATACATTGTCAACAAATAGAACAAAAGTGGAGATTTATACCAAAAAGAGCGCCATGGTATGGTTGATGGTGGAAGCATTTCATCGGAATTACAAAAAAATCTTGTTTGAGGAAAACATTAGGTAGATCTTACGTTATCATAGATACACTTCAAACAATTGTGACAGAAATAGAAGCCATCATTAATGATAGACCATTGACCTACGTATCACCGGATATTGAGGGCGATGAGTCGTTAACTCCGTCACACTTACTATACGGAAGAAGAATAACTTTAACACCATATCCACAACAGAAAGTTGAATACATTGCTTTGAATAGTGGAAAACATGAACTGTACAAACATTTGAATAAACAGTTGAGTTTAATGGAGCATTTTTGAAACTGGTGGAAATCCGTGTATATAACGACACTGAGAGAATTTCATCGCCAAACAGGAAACAATTTACAAATTATTCGAGTTGGAGATGTGGTGCAAGTCCAAGATGATAAATTACCAAAAAAAACCGATGGAACATTGCTATAGTTGATGAATTAATCACCGGAAAGGGTTGTTTTACATGCACAGCTATAATACGAACTTGTGCAGGAGGTCCTATAGTAAAACTGTACCCGCTCGAAATCCGAACAAACATAAAGGATTAAAGGATTAACATGATGATACTTCAACAGAGAGATCGACGAGAATTCTATCACAACGAAATGCATCTGTGCGAGCTCGAGAGAACATCAAGAAAGGGACTACCAAAGAGTGATATACTTGCGGACAACTATGTGTATTTACATAGACTTCTTTAAGAGTGAAAGTCGTTAATAAGTGAATTATTTTAATTTATTTTAGATGGACAATTATTTAGTTAATTTTCAGTAATATCTATTCGATTGGCATTTAAAGTAATTGATATTTTTATATTTTAACTTTTGCCGGCCCGAGAATGTCGGGAATTTAGCGCAATTTCATATATGTTAACGTTGCTACCTGACACTTAGGTATTTATGACGTCACTTATATGGCAATGGCTAGACGTTGAATAAACACAATCTATACACAACGCGTTTATCTACTTTACACAACATGCCAGTACCGTAGTACTGGCTACTGGGGCTTTTGATACCATCGGGGACTATCAGTCCACTAGCAGAGTAATAACATAAACGGTACCAATTTTCCTGCACCAGATGTGCATTTCGACAATCAATGTCTCTTTAGTGATGTTCGAGGCCAAAATATTTGAAAATCAATAGCTTATTAAAAGGATGAAAAGCTATAAACCAAAAAAGGACAAAAAGTATAGCCAAAAGCCGGGCAAGGAATCAGAGCTTTACATGAGGGAAATATATTTCTTAATTTAGAATAACTTCAAAAATTTTGTAACAGCAAATTTTAATAACACAAAATCCGTATTGGCATGCCAGTACCGTAGTACTGGCTACTGGGGCTGGTAATTCCCTCGGGGACTATCAGTCCACCAGCAGAGGCATCGACCCAGTGGTAGTAATAACATAAACCGTACCAATTTTGCTGCACCAGATGAATATGATGGCAAGGGGGGTATTTTGCTGACAACCAATGATTTCTATGATCTTATTTAGATCGATCCAACATTCAATCAAAATTGTTGTCTAGATATATATATTTGTGTATATTACTTCAGAATTGTAAGAAAAATATGATCAGCAAGACACAAGTGTTCAAATAACTTGTGCACAGAAGACCCGTTTCTGTATTCAACATTCAATAATCCCCAGCTAGTATTATAAAGTACGTCACTTCTAACCGCGGGTTTTAGTAAATACTTGTTTTATAATAAAGGTACAGGATGAGCATTTTCGGGTTTTGTAAAGAAAACTTACGCGCAAATTAGGATACATTCATTATCATGAGTCTCATTAGTTGTGGAGCAAACTGGATCCACAACCGCAGGACAAGGACAGCTATCTTGAGAATGAACAATATCTAAAACGAAAACAATGCGACAATAAAATTTTTCTTAAAAATGACAACTTTAGTTTTTATTTCAGAGCATTTCCCTTTGAGCTATATTTGTAGCCTTTGGGAGACAAAAAACTCATCAAACACTGAAATTGATATATGTTTTTCCGTTTTTACTAGATAAATTCGGAGAATCATATCGGTCCACAATGACAAATGTTCCACTAGATGATGCATTCGGTGAAATGGTGATTATCACCATAAATTTTGCCAAAACTCCATCTTGGCTGGTTGCATTGTCGAAAATGTATTTAGTAGGTAAGGTTAATATGACAATTTATCTCATCTATACAATCCGAAAGGTTGTACCTATCATGGTCATTTTAGATGTGTATAATATCACTGTATTCATACGTTATCATTAAGTTAAAATAGCAAAGTTACAGAAATATAATTGCTTGGTTAAAATTTAATTTTTTTTTTCAAATATAGAGATTTATTGTGGAAGTATGAATCTGTCATACAAGAAGGAAATTTTAACCAGCTTTAAAACCAGGTTTTACCAACAATTTTGTTAGTTAAATGAAGGTTCCAAGTCAGGAATATGACTGTTGTTTTCCAGTCGTTCGTTGGTTTATATAGTCGAGTGTTTGAATTTCACCCGAATCACGACAACCCTATGTGTCTTTGTCCATCTATTCTTGTAATTTGCCTGCATTCTCCACTCGGTTTAATTGCAAAATATGTTTTAAGGATATGTTGTTCATGTTAATGCTTTCACAAAAGCTATCCTATTAGAAGCACAAGTGATTTTTATAAAACAAAATCTGATAAAACAGAAAATTTATTCAACGGATTTGTCCTTTACATGCTTTACATATTTCTTCTGTTTTTGATTAAAGAATGATTTGATTGGTGAGGAACTGTACGAAATTTTTTTTTTTTCGTCACCGTCAACAAGCGAGCGCATACTTTTAAAGATATCACGTGCAACATAGTGTTGTTGTAAGAATGTTTCGATGTTGATATACATAAAAACGAATATGTTAATCAAGGAGATTGTCTAGATATATTACCTGTAGTTATGAACAGTATTAGGACAATCAACAACAGTTTCGTCATCGTGTCTTCTTTATAGGTCGCTTTAGTAAAACACAGTTATTCCTTCAACACAGAACATAAAAAAGTGAGAGCCTTTGATGACAAAACGAATTATAACAGTTATTATAAAGATAAAAATAATAATAATAATAATAATAATAATAATAATAATAATAAATGTTACTAATGATTATAATACATGTAGTACTACTAATAACAACATAAACATTTGATAGCAGTACATATTGTCAGCCATATCATCGATCAAACATTATCATTTAAACATTTAATTTGATCTAACATTTCTTTCTATTCACAAACAAATTGTCCAGCATTGTGTTTTTAGGAATGCAATCAATGTAAGTGGGTGAAAGAAGGTCAAGTTGACAACTTTAAGCAAAAATAACGATCGGTTTTATAAAAGATAGTTTTCAATAAATTAATTAAGAAGGAATATGATGGCAGTACTAATACTGTTTTTAAAATATTGTTTATGTACTATTTTAGAAAAAGTTGATTCTGAAATCAGAGATTTGAAAAGTGTACAAATTAAATTGAAATTGATGGCTTTTATCAATTTAAAAGATAATGTATTAAACATACAAGTATAATTTATGGAAATTACAATGTATCCTATAGTAAAGACTCAACAACACAAAATAAATTGACAACTTTTCTCAATTCAATTACAAAGAATTATCTTCTATTTATTAAAATGTTAACATTTTTACTTGAAGCAGTTTCAGAGATTTTATCATTATTTGAAAACTTCAGAATATAATCTTTTGGACGAACAAATTTTGAATTTTCCTCGTAGTTCGGTATTTTTGTTATTTTTTACTTTTCACAAAGTGTTATAAAATATTTGCGTTTTCCATTATAATATTTATACAAGAACTTTTCTTTGTTTTTTGAAAATCAAATCATTTCAGAGAAAGTGTTATGGTAACTACCTTTAAAATCAATCTGAAAGGTTATAAAACCGCATAGCAATCAGATGGGAATTCAAATTACTGTTCTGAATGTCTGTATGAAATGGATTGATGTAGTGAATATGATATTTAAAGTCTTTTTGTGTACAAGATGTATTAAAATGAAAAACGGGTTTAGAAAGTATTTATGTTGATACTCATCTCATATCATTTCGTTAAATGACAGAGAGGAAACTCAAATATCCAATTTAAAAGTATGCTTGAATAGATGCTTCATAAAAAGTAAGATGATTTTCATATGTATATACATTTTTAATATGACTCTGGTCTTCTGTAGGAGGAGTATTTGCAGATTGTACTTAACCTTTTTTCGATATATATATATAAGAAAAATAATATAAGATAATGACGGTTTCAATTCATCACTTTTACTATCGCTTTCACAACTTTCACAGATCTTCAGGTAATGTGACTTGTATACATAAAAGTTATAAAACAATTGATTGACGTTAACAATAGTATGACGTAAACAAATACAAGGGAGACTACTAATGTCATTTTAAAATTGGAGTAAAGTCTTTAAAATGTTTCGTAAAAATTAAAATATAATTTATCATTTAATCCCGGGTTGAGAATGTTAATGAATAATTCTTCTTTCTTCTTCCGGAAAGCAGTGAAAGCGCTAGTAAAAGTGATGAATTGAAACCGTCATTATCTTATATTATTTTTCTTATATGTTACCAGCATACGGATTCTATTTGACTTTTCTTTATATATATATATATATATATAAATTACAAGAACAGAAAAAGAATAAAGAACTATTAGAAACATCTTAATTTGAAAAACGGATCAGTATGTTGTGCAATGATTCATGTAAAGGTCAAGGGTTGTATATTGATAAAAAAGGAAAGTACAATGGAAAACTACTCCTTTATACAAAGATTCGAATAATTATCTTTATCGTTATATTTTAGTAAGTATTGGAATTTAAATCATCTTAAGTTAATTATGGATATAAAAACAGAAAACCTGCCAAATGGTATTAAGGTAAAAGGTACTAGCGCAATGATGCTTGTTTTAAAATGACCAATGCTGTGTTTACTATATAGTAAACGCACTTATCGGCTTTTATTAACCTTGATGAATTCAACCTGCAATTTGTCATCATAATTTAACATTTATTTAACGTATTATTATGTCTTGCTGTTTAAATTGAAAAAGGAAATGGGGAATGTGTCAAAGAGACAACAACACGACCAAAGAGCATAAAACAGCCGAAGGCAACCAATGTGTCTTCAACACAGCGAGAAAATCCCGCATCCGGAGGCGGGCTATAGCTGGCCCCTAAAAGAAAATGTGTACTAGTTCAGTGAAAATGAATGTCATACTAAACTCCAATACATATAAATGAACTAAAATTAAACTAATTAATTTAAAGGTTAACTACATTTTCATGGGGATAATTCGGAAGCTTCAAATCTGCAATATTTTAATTGTTGTCTTTTTATTTAGAATAAATGGACATTATATTTCAATAAATGTTATATATTTAACTCGCATATCAACCTTTCATGAGTAATTATTCTCTTAGTTCTGTAACAAAAAAAATCATATCTGAACAAAGTTTTGCTCCCATTTTACATTTGTTATAACAAATTATTTACCTTGTTATTATTTCATGTTCATAATAACCGCCATTTCTCTGATAAACTTGACTTTGGATGCTGGAAAGCCATGTGTTGCTAACACTAGTAGCAAGATTTAAGTCTGAAACGGTCATTTTGGTCTGATCAAGTCTTAATCGCCTTGATTTACTGCTAGGGAAAAACGTTAAGACCGGTTTAGACTTTCAGACTCTGTTCCGATATATCGTGTTCAGTCAGATCAGTCGGGTCAAGATAAACAAGACAGATTCTTCTAGCGTTCAAATAAGACTTGATTAGATCACGTTCAGATAAAATAAGACCAAAGGTAAAAAATCTGTTTAGTTGCTGTAAGATCGTGTTCAGTCGTGTTAAGATTTTAAATATTTTAAATAAAACGAGCGACACTTTATCTGTGTTTATCAGGGGTTACTCCCCTTTATGAATAAAATCGGCATAGCTAGGAGGATATTCTTTTGTGGTTTTTTAATGTAATACTGTATATCTATTTCATTAAATAACGTATGCAAACGTACAATTCATTTTTTCCCGATAGAATTTTTAACATTTAATTGGTTATATAAGAAAAGATTAATTGTCTTAACCGGGAAATGTGTTAGTCATTAAAACTTTGCAGTCGTGCTTTCTGACATAAAGTAGTCCTGTATTTATTCATTCCGCCCGTAAAGATATAATGATAAGTAATATATCCCAAAGATGTTCTGAAATTTTCTTAAACATTTTTTGTTTCTAATGTAAAATAATAGTTCTGATCCATATAAAATTGCCAAGAAAAATATATTCTAAGTATCTAATTTACTTTAAATTTTTAAATATTATATAGATGACAGTTGCTTGGTGAAAGTTATTTACATTTCAATAAACGGATTATCTAAGCAGTCAACCGAAACGGGTTGTCATAAACTATCTAAATAATTACCCATGCAACGCTTATGATGTTTTATCTATGGACGTAAAATGAATAAAGTTCCATGTTTTATCTTATATAAGGATTTACCGGGTAAAATTATTACATTGACAAATAAAACATTATTTTTTCAAAAAAAATGCATCAAGAATAAAGAATATTTTAAGAATTTAGTTGACAGTTTATATTTACCATTAGGTACCTATAAAGACCGATTTCGATACCTCTCTTGATTTTTTTTTATCATCAAGTTTTTTTTAGCAAGAACTAATACAAGAATAAATCATATAGAAAAATATCAAACAACGATTGATAAAATCTTGTGTACGGTTTATATTTCTGTTTCGTATCAGATTTTTTTTATAACACCAGCGTTACTTCTCATTTAAAAAACAGTGAGATGCTTACTTGCT